TTGAGCCAGTGACTAGATCCAATGATTCGGCTTTTCGGCCCAGGTTTTTTTTTTATTTAGGTTTCTGTAGACGAGATCCATTGAACAATAAACGAAATTCTATTGCATTGACTTGCTGGATTAAAATTAGAGTCTCTCAGTAGATAGACTGACTAACTGTTCTGCAGTGTTACAGCCCTAATGTAAACCAGCTCGTAACAGTAGAGAACCTTTCAAATTTTTGAAGAATTTTCTAAAAATAATTTTGTAAAATGGGAAGTTGGAAAGTACCTCTTTCATCACAGCTAATATTGTATTAGCTAGCTATAGCTAATATAGATATAGAAAGAAAGGGGAGATATGTAATGACGCTTTGTAAGATCGGGTACCGATGTCGCCACTTTTTAGCTTGTGTGCAATTCCAACTTTACGCTCTATTATCTACTACCATAACTTAAAGATTTTGACTGGGTAGGGCCTAAAACGTGAAAACGACGTAACACAATTTTAAAATTTAACAAAATTAAACTTCCAGTCACTTGAGTAAGAGTTATATTTCAGTATTTTTTTCATCCTGGTTCAGCCAGTCGACATCAGGTCGCGTTTTAGTAAAAATGTTACTAGTATATAATAGCTAACTATTACACATTAGATGGCGCTGAAACTCATTTTTCATTACACTAAGAACTCACGGAGCGGTGTTCACCCACGCCTGTCGCGGGACCGCGGCATCTGTAGAATGGATAGTTAAGTATATAACATTTGTAGCACATTTCACGGCGCGTTTTACGCCTGTAGTGGTGACGGTTGCTCGCGGTTGCCGCGGCGGGGTACTAGTAGAACCGCGCAGGACGCGATCACTTGCGCGCTTGGCGGCCGTCGTCGCCCGCGCACTTTGGCGGTCGGTTCAGGCGCAATGTATTGTAGGCGCACGCGGAATGAGTTCTCGATTAACCGCGCGACTTGCGATTAACTCCCACTAACTTCTTCGCGGTCCGTTCCGCAATCGCAACGGTTTCGTGCCTACAACCGCAGCGGCTACGTGCTCGCACAAACTAGCAGGGTCGTGAGTATTGAAATATAACCGCTGTCCCGCAGCACCGGCGGGCGCGAATGGAAACCGCTCCGTGAATTGTTAACCTTATTAACCTTAAACTGACGCTACTCAACAAGGGATGTGGTCCTACCTAATCGATAGTTAGAAACCATGTGGCTGTTTTTAATATTAAAAAATATTCTATTTTTCATACTATACCTACGCTGGTACTGGTGTATTATTAAATTAATATATTAATATAAATTATTTTCATTTTCTTAATGGCGGCCACTAGACTTGGGCCAGTGTCAGTTTTAGAAGAATAATATAAAAAGTATGACGATCGTCGCCAGTGTCAGTTTTCCATTATAGTACGTTACCACGGGATGGTGAAGCTGTCATTGTCAAGCGTAAACTCGGACCATCAACGAATTTAATAAATTACATTATGTTGTTTTTTTATGAAGGATTCATGTAATTTTCTATAATTGTTTCTAATTTATTTTGCAAGCACATGTAAATTAAAGCCAATTTTATTTTATTTTTTTTTTTTAGAAAAAGTCAGAAATAGTAATAAGAAAACCAATATTTCGATTTTCCTGCAGCTTCAATCCAACCTTCTCTTATTTTGAACTCATTGGAGAAATTTAAAAATTAAAAATACTCTACGTTTAATCTACGAGTATAATGGAATTTAAATATCTAAATTATTTAAAACAATAATACACATACATTTTTCTTCAAGCAACAGCAACGTAGAAATTGACATGAAATTGAAACGATTGTCCGAAATACGAGTTGTGTTAAAGTTACTTGAAATAAAATGTTTAGTGATAATAATAATAATATTAATAAAATAAAGGAAATCAATTTAACGTGAATGCTTTTCGCTTCGATATTTTAGGGACTTTAATTATAAAAATCATAGTAAGAAATTCAAACATTTCAGTAAAAATTTATTGTCGATAAACATCAGTCATCGTAAATGAACATCACTATATTTCAGTATAGAAATTTCTATGGAGACGAAAAGAAAACCTAGAATAATAATAGAAATAGTAACTAAAAATGCAAATAACCGGTGGAATGTTATCTCACTGGTTTTAAAATTTTTGTTTTCACTCAAATTTTTACAAGGTGTATCGCTACAACTTGGCGTCTTCACGTTTTACGAGAGATCTTGTATGTACAACGATCGCCATGTCACTGTGGCGATGTTTATGGGCGTGTCACCTCTTTCGTCTTTTGAGCATATCGAGGCGACTCGAACCACGCCCCTATACCAAATCTCCCCTTTTTTTCTATATCTATGGTTTTGGCAAGCAATAGCAATGGTCAACGAGCAACAGTGCTAAATAATGTAATATAACCCAAAGGGATTAATTCTAAACATTTAACCTTTTAGGAGTGACCGCTCAAACGAATCACATGACGCGACTAACTAATTGAGCTAGTTAGTTGTGTTAGAGCCATTTACACGACGCGAAAGTTTGCGCGCAGCCGCCGCGCGGCGACCGTCTAGTTACCGCGCTTTCACGTACATTAATAGCGAATCTGAATTCTATTTACTAGGCAACAACGTTTAAATTCCTCTGAACAATACATCCGCGCGGTCGCCGCGTACACCAAAGACAAGCCATCCCCGCCCGCGCGTCCGAGACGCTCATTTAAGTTAAAGAAATAGAAAAGCTAAATAAATAGAGCGTACTTTGCCATGACAGTTTGATGCACGCGGTCACTGCGCGGCGACAACGCGGTCTCCGTGGGGCGACAGCGCGGCGCGTGAGCCCGATGAAATTCGTGTCGAATAAAATGTGCGCTTAGGATGTGTACAGATCTAGAAAAAAATGCGCCTGTTTGCGAAAGGCACGCGAGCTGCGCACTTGCACTCTGTTCTGATCTCTCGCGCCATTTCGATACCTCCAATGAACACTACGCCTACTTAATTTTTGGACCTATTCTATTTTTATTTTGTTTTTGTTTCTTTTTTCCACAAAATTCGGTTTTTGCCTTTTTTCCAACGATTGAATTCTGATTTCGATTTTTTTCGCCACCATAAAATTCATATACCTATGCTTACGTTATTAATAGCAGGTTGCAATGTGCCCATGTCTTGTAACGTGTGTGATTGTTATGATGTACGTGTGACATAAGCTACTTATGTATTTAAGTGCATTTAGCGGCTTGTTACGCTACTGAATAGAGATTTTAAATTATATAGCTTATAGAAGGTAATTTATCTGCTACATCATCCCTACTTGCCTTTGAAATAAATCAAGATTGCGAATCGATAGTAGGACGCCGGTATCAAGTCCCGCGCGGGAAAAATAGACAACGATTTGAGACTCCCTCAGGGCTGAAGCGTAGCTCCACATATCCGGGCTTTACCGATATCTATCTCCGTGTTAGCCTTCCAATACTCAGTCGTTTATAGCACGGGTTTATAGATTGTGAAGGAGGCTGGCTTTTCGTACAATTTACTCATACGATAGTGAAGATGTGCAAGGCGATCGCTTTTCGGTACAACCATAATACTCAGCTATGGTCTCTTTTTTGAAGACGGAGTAAAATTATAAATTTAAATTAGTATTTGTAAATAAATATAAATATTCCTTATTACTATAGAAGCAATGTGTCATAAGCCATTTTGTCAATTGTGATTTAAACGTAGGTGCGTGTAGTAATTTAAATTCATTTGGTAAACTATTGAAGATTGCTCTAATGGTTACTGAGGGTCGTATTCCAGAACTCTACTCAATGCTCAAGTCAGGATTTGAGCAGACTTGAGTATGATTTCAAGCACTTGGAATACGACCCTAATAACACGGACTTGAGTATGATTTCTAGTGCTTTGAATCATACTCAAATCCTGACTTGAGCATTGAGTACAGTTCTGGAATACGACCCCAATTGAGTTATTTGTCTTCTTTATTCTTATTTTATGAGTTAGACTTGTTAGTTCCAACTCTAATACTAGTGTATTGAAATCAGTTTTTATCCATATCATCATCATCATCATCAAGCACCCTCTACTCCGTCCGTCTTCGGATATAGGCCTCCTCCATGTCTCTCCATTTATGTGGCTCTCGTGTCACATGCGTCCAGTTGCGGCCCGTGAAATTTTAATGTCATCCACCCAACGAAGTGGCGGAAGACCTCTGCCGGGCGTGTGGGCCCAAGGTCCTCCTTGTCCATCGATCTGGGTCCATCCTAGCTATGTGTCCTGCTCATTTTTATTTCATCGTCTCAATTTGCGTACAACGTCCCCGGCTTTAATTATCCGTCAAATACGCTCATTCGGTATCCGTTCGAGGAATGTTATTCCTAACATTGTTCTTTCCATTGTCCTCTGTGCGATTCGTAAGTTCTCTGCGAACTTCTTCATCAGACTCGTTGTTTCCATGCCATAGGTGAATACTGCTAGGACACACTGGTTAAAGACCTGTAGTCTCTGCGGTATGCGTTTGCATCGCAATATTTGCTGGTGGGCCCGAAAATTATTCATATATACCTACATTTCAATAAGGACGTGCGGATTTCATTATTATATTATATTTATATTGAACTAAAATAAAATAAAAATTTTAAAATATGTCTGGTCTTTAATAAGCATAGTTCTAAATGTAGTGTATGTATGCATGAACTTACAAAAATTAACAATTCAAAGGAACCTGTGCTCCGCAGTTGCCGGCGCCGCCGGACCGTTGACGATTCAAATGAAACAAGTACGGTCATTTATTGCATACGCGTAAACGACATTCAGTTGATAGTCGATAGAATATTTATCGACTGCAATCACCAGCTGCGTGCAAGTTAGCAACACTTTTGCACAATGACCTGTTATTTACTCCATCTTCAAAAAAGACAGACTTACAAGCGATTTGAAGTATTTTTCACCTCTCGTAGCTTTGACCTGGATAACGGTTTAGGTTTCAAATTTCTAGAATAGGATAAAGTCATTTTAATCATATGTTTTACTATGCAGGCACTTCAACCCGCAAACCACGCCTTAATCCGGCCTTAGTGGCTGCCCAGGCAGCGGGCACGGCAACCAGCTCGCAGAAACGACCGCGCTCCGCCAACTCGCTCAAAAAGAAGCGTCGCCACCCACCCAGACTAAGTAATGTTGATCGCAGCTCAGCGCAGACCAGAGAAGTAAGTGTAACCGTCTCACTACAATTACCAGAAACGATGGCAATTGGCAATAGATTTAATAGGTCACGGTGATAATGAGCTAAAATTCAATATATTGTGTTATGCAACAACTTGAACCAACCTCTTTACGAGCCGTTTTACCAAAGACATATCGATGGTTTTCTAAAATAGAGGCCTATTTCAATAACATCTAATACATCAGGAAGATGATAAAAAATCTTAAGGTGTATCGCAAATCTCACGAATTGTATAACCAATGTCGCCCCGTAAACACAATAAAATTTCGCATATATTCTGTATACAGCTGTGTCAGAAAAAAATTTTTTTTTTATTTGTGCCATTCAAGAGAACCGAAATGTTAAAAACCGAGCCAAGTTCTTTTTGGATAATTTCACAAGTAAAATTGAACTCAAAACCACTGCCACCGACACTATTCCATAGAAATAAAAGAGTGATGATCTTGTCATACTTTGCCATTCGAGCTGCCGGGGATTCAAATCTCACTCGGAACACACTATAAAATATCTCTTTTTGTGATTATTTTATTACACATCTTCCACCAGGTAACAGTAAGCGGAGTGACAGTGGTAATAACAGAATATAAGCCGAAGAAGTCGGTTTCCACCAGCTCGAGTGATGTAGAGTCGTCAAACGACGCACGTCCCTGATCTCCCGCCACCCCAGGCGCGGCCGCGGACCCGGCCGTGCCTGGCACTTCGGGCATGTCCCACAATGTCAGGTCCACCTCGCCTAAACCGTCTTCTTCGTCTTAAATCCGAAGAAAATCTTAGGTTATATCACTGATATTTGACCGTTGGCGTTTAGCTATAGAACACTAATTGCGCTTATAAGGCAACTTTATACCTGTTAGATACCATCGCAGTGTTCTAGTTGTCCTATGTCGTCATCTACGATCAAATATCGTTTTTTTGATATGTCCTACAGTGATGGAAATTAGACATGTTTTCCACTGTGATCAAAGGTGGTATAACTAAAAAAGTGCGTTGTAGTTGCTTTCGCTAACAATTACTAAAAACTTTTCGCTGTATCACTTTAGTAAAAACTGGAAAACACGTCCAAAGTAGCTGTTCCCAATTATTTATTAGGTTTTTCTTTTAATTTATGGCAAATCAAAAAATTTGACATTCGTAAGATAACAACTTTCATCAGGGAAGAAAACATAGTCTATAATAGTCAAACCAACTTTTTGATGTATAATATGTGGTTATCAGGGTTACGGAGTGTAATATATAAAGTTGCATGGTATTTGACGAGGTCAAGTCTCTTACGTTTTATTTAAGCCAGAATAAATGTTGAAGTTGTATGTTAATCTCGAAAGATAATCGATTGGGAACAGCTGTATTGTACGGCGAGGAAAATACTACTCATGTTAAAGACTATTCCAATCTTATTTTTATTAGATAAAATGTGGTCATTGGGAAACTTTGCTAACCTAAAATTTTGTTACTTAGAAAAAACTTTTTTTCGCTTCGTCTTTGTTATGTTTGTATAAAAATCACCTTATTATATTTGTTTCAGTTGCAATAGTGATAAGAAATGTATTCTTTTCAAAAGAAAAAAATACTGTTCATGAATTTCAAACTAAAACCATTTAACTTTGAGTCTAACTACGATATAAGAATGAAATTAGTAAGGAAATGTAATTGTATATTGGAAATGTTAAGACCAGCTGGTCACTGCCAAACGATTAAAGTAGTTATTTGGCGGTTTGCGAATGTCGCGTCGACTATTGGATATGTCGAACGAGCCGTAGTAATATGGGGCCATCGATGCTATGACGGTCACAGTGAAAGTATTTATAATAGAATATATTGCATAAATAAATAGCAAAATTCTTGTGATCGTTTCTATATAAATAGTCTTTGTAAAAGGACATTTGCTGGCCTACATATTGACTCACAGTTAAAAAAAAGAATTGCGAAAGTGCCGCAGATTAATGTTTATTCTATTCTGTCATCGCATTTTTTTTTGTCAGCTACATTGTACATCAGTTAACCTCCAGTATTAATAGGAAAAGTAAGACTTCAAGTGTTTCCTATTTCAAATTAAATTCAGTTATAAGATTTCAACAATGTTATTCCAATAATAACCAATACATATATAAAATATATATATATAATAACCAATATATATATATATATATATATGTATGTGTTTTGATCTTTGAAATAAGTAAGCATTAGGAAACAAAGCGGTATTCAAACGATTCCTAAAGAAGCCGTCAGTAATTCTATGTATATAGTCAAGCGCACAATTTGGGTACGTAATTATAATATCAGTCATAATAATATGTCGTGCAATCAAATTTTTGCAATGGGCAACATACCGTGAACTAAGATTTTAAACTTTATTTGCATAAGGATTTATGTAAGGCGAAGATGCGCGGAAGTGCGACGGCCAAGTTTCTGAAAACGCAAATCTAATTATGTAAGAGTGAGATATGTAATCCTAAACAGGACGCTGTTCAGGATTTAAAATCACTGAGCAGTTAGTCCAGTGTGAAACTATCCACAGATAGGTCAGCTATTATATCCTTTTATATATCTTTTAATTTTACGTAATTAGATGATGGTTTCGTTCTTCTGTGATGTTTCATATTTATAAATTACAATTTAGTGTAACATTTGATGTAGCCATAATATTATTCGTCCAAGCTATTTATTGTTGCCTCTTCACCACTCTACTTGATAGAATGGCTAGAAACAAGTTATATTTTATTCAGAACTTACGAGAATACTTGGGTATTGTAGATAGATAGGAAAAGTAAGACTGACTAGAGTATCTGCATATAGATACTAAAACCATCGAGTGTAAAATTACGATGATATATTCTAAGGCAAAGTTAAATTAATAATTAGCCAACTGTGACTTTAAGGGGTTAAATAAGGTAGATATTGCTCAACCTTGGCCTTGTGTTTCTTTTTTCGTAAAACTCTAGAGCTTTGCTATATTGCAAAAATGTTAAGTGGTGAGGAGGCCTAATTATAAGATGTGAAATATTCATAGCTGCAGTAAGTTACCAAAAATACTATCGGCCCTAAGTTGTGTTCCATGCTTCGGTTAAGTATTTATTTTAGCTTTAAGTTGTATGTATTTATTTTAAGCTAGTATTTTTTTTCTTCCAATGTTGATCTTTTTTTCTATTTCCATCTCTTCTCTTTAAAACTCTTTCCGTTTTGTTTTAAAACCTTTTTGTTCGAGAGTGATCTTTAATTAGACAATCACATTAGTTACTTAAGACAGGACAATATTGTCTATTCTTGTACAATACTCAGTTACTGCAGAAAATTTCTATTAGGTAGGTATATTATCAGAAAAGTATTATTTAAAACCCTATGTTTATCTCTAAATGGATTTGAATATTTTTCTAAATATGAATATTTTAAACTGTAACTTATATTAGTATACTTTGTTGTCACTTGGCACATCCAAAAGTAACATTTAAGGTTATTGGAACTCGCGACTATTCCCACATCTGTAACATCTTGCGATATGTTTGATTGTTATGTCATGAAACTTTGTACCTGTATTTTTATAAATAATTTGACTATGTATTTACTTATTTTTTTAAATTTAATTCAACGTATTTCCTATTCATTGTATAGTACTTAATAGTTATGTGTATATAAGTGTTTTTGTGTCCATGCCGGAACATAATACATGTCTATGTATTTAGAGGTCGCCCAAAGCAATGTACGACTTCATATATATGTATATTAGTCACTTTATTATAATTAAGCATATTTCTAAAAAAATGTTTCAAAATACAGGTATATTCTGAGGAAACTTAATATGTTTTCACCGACAGCCTTGTCGAGTGGTCTTTACTTCAAGACGATAGAAATAAATGTTCATAAAAATAGTAGTAAATTATTTTGCTACTCCACGAACCCATTGGGTTAACATCTTCAACCAACCACCACCAAAATTGTAGGTATTTGACACGTGTTTCGCCTCTGCGAGACATCCTCAGGAGTTATTGGTTGTTCGATTTTCTTCGAGGATCGGACTTTCTTCGGCCGAAGTTCGCGGAGTAGCAAAGTAATTTACTTCCATTTTTATAAATATTGTTTCACTGTCAAGTTATCATAGTGCAATATAAATACAATAAATGGTAAATAAAAATATAAGTACAATAAATGGTTTGAATAAATATTATACAGTGCTCATGTAGCCGATGGTCTAAGAACTTCGCTTGCGCACTGCTTTTTTAATAATAGTCTATGAACATTGGAAATGAATTATTTTTCATCGGATTTAAATCACATATACATTTTTTTTTTTTCAAACAAATCTACGTGTCGGACCTTTTACACATCCCATGGTCACTGCTTACTGCGATGGTAAAGTCATAAATCTATTCTAATATTATTGCAAATCACCCTGTTTTTCACTATAGTTTTTTTTTACGATACCATGTGACGGAACGATTAAATCGGACGACTAGTGGTAACACGCCTGTCCATAGCAGTTGACGCGCCATTCAGAGCTTAAAATCGCAAAGATCTGAGGGGCACTGCCACTGCGCTTGTCACCCTGAGACATCAGTTGACAAGTCTCATATTATGCCAGTAATTTTACCAGCACCCTTAACCTTCCAATCCAATCCGGAACGCAGTAATGCTCACATTACTGCTTTCAGCAGAAATAGGTAAGGTGGCAGTACTTCCCTGGACGAACTCTTTCATAAGGAGCTCTACTGCTGCTAAAATAGTACATATCGCACTGCTATTACAATAGTGTTATAACTCGAAATGTGAAAATCAAGATTATAATATTGTTGAACGTAAAATTTGAATCTCTGCACGTCAAAAAAGCCGTTGTTAGAATATTGTTAAAAACAACTAAAATATATCTACTTAACTATTTAACTCAAAATGAGACACGCTTTATGTGAGCTAGTTCTGGCCAAAATAGTCCTTATACAAAAACATGAAATTATTTTTTCTTTTATTTTTAAATATGTATATTTGGTAAGTAGGAAATAACCTACACACAAATTTACACAGATATTTCACGGGAAGCGAGTAATTCGTTTTTCGTCGATTCTGAGAAAATACACTTTTTGAGTTAATACACTATTGCATTAACAGTGCGATATTGTCTATACACCACAGGGATCGAAGTCACGTACCTATATTTTTTATTTTTTTCAAACTAGTCTATGTTTCGGTCCTTTTACAGGTCCCACGGTCCTATATTTCACAATAGTTGCAAAGGTTAAGTATACATATATAAACAGTTTTGGGCGGCCTTTTAAGCAATTTAATAAAATAGTAATATCGAAATATGTAGCAGTTTTTGCAATATGTTTTTGACATTCACAATGATTTCGCTTTAAATGTTACGTGTCAATTTAATATTACACTATACATTGTAAGGAGTTAGACAAACAATACGATCACGCGTTCAGTGTTAATTTTTCTCCTATATGCCGTGCGCATTATGTTTGCTTGTGACAGTCTAATTTAGTCAGTTCCTGACACTTCTCGCAAAGTTCTCTGCACGCCATATGTCACTCGTGTTCATAGTTTTGTTTTAGCCTTATGGAACGAAATACTCGTATATATTAGAATCTGTTTCCGTTTGTCGCGGACTTTGGAACATGAAATATTAACAAAATTTAAATTAGTTTTTTTTTTCTGAGCCCACGACCTTCTTAATCGTCGTGGGTTCGAATCCGGGCTTGCACCTCTGGGGTTTTCGGAATATATATGCATAAGTTTGATTTGAAATTTACCGTCAGCCTTTGTTGAAGGAAAACATAGACAGGAAATCTGCACACGTCTCGAGCGAAGTTCCCAACCCGTTTAAGGGCTCGCGTGGGAGCTGCAGCTCAAGTGCTCACATTTTAAGACCTGTGTTCAGTAATGGGTAAAACATAAGGCTAACTATTATTATTAATATCCTCCACACCACTGACATTAATTAAGGTTTGATTACAAAAATAACTAAAATAAATTAAAGCGTCTATTTATTTTAATTATATGCCTAGTTTACAATAGTCTGGGTTAGGCACTTCCTTTACATTAGTAAATATTGATCGCTCAGTCAGCTCTCTTCCACATCATCATCATCAACCCATTTATACTCTCCATTGTTGGGCACGGGTCTTCCCTCAAGTGTGGATTGAGACTATAGTCCTGTGATATGACCCGATGTTTTCCTTCACCAAAAAACTCATAGAAAATTTCGCATATAATTTCCAAGAAACTCAAACCCAGATTCGAACCCACGGCCTCTGCTTGAGAGGAAGTAGGTCAAACCACTAAGCTACCACGGCCTTACCACAATATACGTCACCTTTATTTATTAGTTCTGTTTTCACCCGACGCAAATTTTACTGCTTGCGTGTCTCATTAGGTACGTATCTACTGATATAGTTGATACTGTAGATACGTTGATACTTAAAGAGATAATCTGCATAGCTTGCGCTGACAACCCGTGTACAAGAATGTATACCACGGCGAGATAAAACGCGTCGCAACAAAAATATCTATAAACAAATCTTCCATATCGATATGCAAACAAAGCAGAAATACGCGTGCTGTGTCAAACCATCGTAACAGGCAAAACACACTTAGACGCACCTTATAAAGATGGCAAAATGAATTAACTTTGAACGCATGAACTATGGGTATCACAAGTATTTAAACTACAATTAAGTATGTGGTGTGATGTACAGATTCGGCTGAGGACTGTAGAGAAATTCAGAAATACATATTTTTGTATTGAATGTGTGACTGGACTCTTGCATACATGTAGACCAACCTTAATGGTAATTAAGGCACCACTTCATCGAATGTTTTGTGGTGGAAAAATTGGCAAGTCCTGCAATATAGCAAGAGTCCAGTGGTGAGTGGAGTGACTAACATAGGGTCAAAATTTAATCGTTGAACGTGTAATGTAGTGGTAAATGTTAATTATTTCTAAGTAATTCTTTCGGTGTAATTTACTGGATGTATATAAAGGACGTGGAAAGATTTCTGTTGTTTTAATGCATACCTTTTATTATGATAAAATTAGGTCTAATACTGGGATACATAGTAAGTATAAAAATAATTACTTTTATACGCTATCCCTGTGTTCC